GTTTTTCACGTGTCGGGCCTTGAGGGGCGATATTCGTTTGACACTGTAGCGATACTATTCCGGGGTGCTCGGAATTGTTTTGTGGGATGTAGTCCTGAAGTACGATGGGAGCAACAGAACCATAGCCACAGCTTGGGGATTCAGCTGCAGGGACCTTGACAGGTGGTGGATAGGCCTCCTGGGTGGGGTCGGAGCGGATGGAATCGGAGGATTCGGGGGCGAGAATTTCTCAACGCCGACGGCGCCGAGGCACCGCCGACGTCGCCGATGCATCGCAGATGCATCGGCGATGCGGCGCGATCCTCAGACCCCGTCTACTCGGACCCCATCTGGCAGGCTTCTGATATGTGCCATTTGCCCCATTCCCCTTCCCCCCGGACCTGAACACATCCATCTCAATCGCTTGTTGATCACCCAGGCGGTGGTCAGGGACAAATCCCTGCCTCGGACGTTCCCCTCGGAGCACACTTCAATCGTGGCACCACCGTGGCAGCTCCGTGAGGATCAGTGTAAGCCAGCGCCGCACCGAACCATCAACCGCGATGGATCCCAGATTCCTAGATTTGGGAACCCATCAGCTGCGATGGATCCCAGATCTCGCTAAATCCAGGGGCAGAGCGTCTCACGGATGGACGGCGGGCGGCTTTCAGTGTGGAGTTCCCGCCTCAGTGCCGCGCACATTCGTTTGATCAGTTTGCAGCAGTTTCACGCACGGAGGGGGGGGGGGAATTTCAAAAGTGTGGTTCTCGCCTTAGCGCCGCGCACATCTTCCCTGAACGTTTGCAACAGCTTCACGGATGGTCACAACCCACCAAACCACCCCAACCCAGCCCGAAGACCCCAGATTGCTTCCCATTCACAGCGGGGGGGGCGTCAGGGAAACATTGCAAAGTCTAACGGAACCCGTACCGTTTTTGATGGTGACCAATGGAGAGGAAACATGTTGCCAAATAATTCCCAGATGTCTAGAACATGTGTTAAACATGTTTTAAACATGTAGAAAGTACGTTTAAAACATTCCTAGAACATCTATCACACCCTTTAAAGACATGGTCAACTCAATGACAGAGAACGGTTAGAGTGTCCACTGTCATGCCATCCACAGCCGTACCCCCAACGGGTCTTCGGGTTTGGTTGAGGTGGTCCGGTGGCTAGTAAGATGGAGGGCGGCCTCTTTTCAAAGCGGAGTAGTTGTGCAGAGTGGAGTGTTCTGTGCGCCGGCCGGGCGGGGTGGGTCTCGAGCGTCCTTGGGTGTTCCGTGCGCTCCAGCGCTCCTGCGCACTTCTGCGGGTGCCGGAGGGCGCAGGCACGCAGGCGGCCTCCTTGCAAAGCGAAGTTCCCTTCTCAGCGCCGTGCACAACGGGCTTCGGCTTGCTGAAGCTCCTCGCCTCGTTGCCCTGCAGTGCTGCGGGCTGGGCGGAGGGGGGGGGGGCCGACCGGGGGCAGCGCTGGGGGGAGGAGGGAGGAGGGAGGAGGTCAGGGGCAACGATAGGGGGGGGATAGGCATAGGGGGGGATGCATCGACCCCCAATCGCCCATTGGTCGCCGACAGGGGCCCGATAGCCCCAACCTGCCCAGGAAGGTGCGGACTCATTCATCATCAGAGGCCTATCGCCGATCAATCGGCGATGTATCGCTGATTCCAGGTCGATGCATCCCCCCCTTTTGCCAGTCCCCCCCTATCGTTGCCCCTCAGGAGGGAGGAGGGACGGTGGATGGACAAAATCCTGCACCAGCCGCGCACAGGGGCGACGGCGCAAACTTCACACGCCCCCCTGCCCCCGATTCAATGCTGATTGCCTGCGCCCGCGGGGTGCAGAGTTTAGGCCAGTCGGCGGATCGACAAATCGCGCCACAGCCTGCCAATAGTAAATTGGAGGCGCGCGGGGGCGAAAACGAAAATCTCAGAAAAAAGAGGTGCAGGACTTTGTCCACCAACCGGAGTCGAGGTTCAAGGCTCCTCGGGCGTGCCCGTGCCGGCTCTCGGCGGCCTCCCCGCCTCGGGGCGCCTTCCGGCGGCCGCGCCTCGGCTCCAGGGGTGCCCGGAGCCTTCCGAACGACCGCCAGAGAGCCGAGTGAAGTCATTTATAAGGAAAAGGATTGGAGGAGGAGGAGGAGGAGGAGGGGGAGGAGGAGGAGGAGGATGGGCAGGAGGAGGAGGAGGAGGAGGAGAAGGAGGATGGGCAGGAGGAGGAGGAGGAGAAGGAGGAGGAGGAGGAGGAGGAGGAGGGGGAAGAGGAGGGGGGATGGGCTCATGGGGGGAGGACCGTGCGGGGTCGCTGTCGGGGGCCCATCGCCGATCGGTGGGCGATGTGTCGCCGATTCCGGGTCGTTGTTTCGATATTCCCCTCAGATGGCGAAGCGGTACCCATACCGTTGCCTTTCGCCCGTTTGCCCTTTTTTGGGGGCCTGATGGGAGGCCATGGTCACCACCGTTGGATTCGCCTCGAAATTGTAGTCAGCACGCACCCTGGGAGAGGTCGGGGGAGTAGCGGTGTCGCTACCTTTTGGGTCCCCATTCCCTCCCCCTTGGCGCTCTCTTTGCGGCATGTGTGCCTCCCCCCACGGGAGAGAAGAGTCGCCATGCTTTCACCATCTTTTTGCCATCCCCTGGTCCTTTCACTTCCCCTCTCCAGCGTCATCGTTGCCATCCCCTCTCCAGCATCATCGGTGCCATTCACGCTTCCTCTACGCCATTCACGCTTCTGCTTCCCCTCCTCCGCACCCTTTCTCTCCCCTTCTCCTGGGGCGGCGCGAAGGAGAGGCCGCCCGGCTGGAAAGGCAGGGCGCCCGTTGCCCGACTTGGTCCCTCCCCCTTACGTGCCCCCTCAGTGGTCTCCCTCGTGTTGTCGTTCCCCGTCGTGTCACTCCGTCCTTGAGCGCATCCTGGCCTAAGGGCCATTTTCTCCGCCCTCCCCCCCCCCTCTGGGCGGATGCTGGGGAGGGAGGTTCAGAGGAGGAAAAGGAACCCATACCTCTACTCTTCGCCCCTTTCGGGCCTCCTGGAAGGCCCTCGTCGCCACCGTTTTTTCATGGCGCCAGCATCGCAGAGCGGAATTCGTTCGGAAAACAAGGTGATGGGCCCGGATAGTCCTGGACAATTTCGTTTGGATTTCGATGTGAATTTCGTGCAGATTTTTGGCCAGGAGTGAAACAACAAATCTACGTGACATTAATTTTGTTTTTCGCTCGCCGTCTCGGAGTTTTGCAGTGGCAGGAATCCACGCAAAAATCCGCTGCAATACAGCACGTCTGCAAGGTCGGTACAGTGAACTGTTGGGTTCGCCTCGAAATTCTTATCAGAACGCAACGCCGGAGAGGTCCAGGGCGTAGCGGTGTCGATGCCTTTTGACTTCCCCGCGGGCGAGGGGGCCGGCGGGGTGGCCTCGAGCGAAGCGGGAGAGAAGGAGGACGAGGGCCAGGACAGCAAGTGCAGCAGGAGGGCAGGGGAGGAGGGAGGAGAAGGAGGAGGAGGAGGAGTAGGCGGAGGAGGAGGGGGAGGAGGAGGAGGAGTTGGAGGAGGAGTAGGAGGAGGAGGACGGGGAGGAGGAGGAGGAGGAGGAGGAGGAGGAGGAGGAGTTGGAGGAGGAGCAGCAGCAGAAGCAGCGGCGACTGCTGTATGAGGACGAGATAGGGGGACCAGCAACACGATCAGGCCGAGGGATGACGAGGATGGTGGTGATGATTTTGCTGGTATTGATTATGTTTGCGTTGACGATGTTGTTGATGGTGAGTATGATGATGATGATGCTGATGCTGATGATGACGATCATGATGATGATGAAGATGATGATGATGCTGATGCCGGTGATGAACATGATGATGCTTGTGACGGTGATGATGATGATGTTGTTGATGATGATGATGATAATGATGATGGTAATGGTGATGATGCGTATGAAGCCTACGATATTGATGGTCATGCCGATGTGTATCTGTTTTGTGCTGTGGGTGATGATTATTAGTACGCCGCTAATGTTGGATTGTACGTGATGGGTGTTGTTATTATTGCTGTTCTTTGTGATGATGATGATGCGCTTGATGATGATGGTGCTGATGTAGACGACGGTAGTGATGATGATGACGCTGATTATGCTCATCACAACGATGTTGCTGATGAAGATGATGATGCCCATAATGATAACCATGACGATGACGACGATGAGGGCGATGATGCTGAGGTTGATGATGATGATTATGATGATGATCCGGACGATGACGCTGATAGTGATGATGGTGATGATGATGCTGGTGATGCTGATGATGATGGTGATGGTCAATCGTGATGATGATGATGATGATGATGATGATGCTGGTGATACTCATGCTGCTGATGCTGCTGCTAATGATGATGGTGATGGTGGTGTGGCGACAATGATCATGACGATATTGATAATGACGATGATGCTGCTCATGATGAGGCTGATGGTGACGATGCTACGGATTCTGATGATGATGATGATGAGGATGCCGCCGATGAGTTTGACGACGGTGATGATGATGATGCTGATGATATGATGATGCTGATGACGATGATGATGCTGATGATGATGATGATGCCAATGATGATGATACTGATAGTGAGTATGATGCTGCTTCTGATGATGGTGATGGTGATAATGGTGATGTTGGTGATGCTGGTGATGGTGACGATGACGATGATGATGATGATGATGATGATGATGATGATGGTGATGGTGATGGTGATGGTGATGATGCTGATGATGCTGATGATGCTGATCATGGTGATGATGATAGTAGTGATGATGCTGATGATGCTGCTGCTGCTGCTGCTGCTGATGATGATGATGATGATGATGATGATGATGATGATGATGATGATGGTGGTGGTGGTGGTGGTGGTGGTGGTGGTAGTGGTGGTCGTGATGATGTGGTTGATGATGAGACTGAGTGGACGCAGGAGGATTGATCAGGAGACGGATGAGGACGAGTTGGAGCAGCGTCTTGGAGCGCGCCGGCTTGTGGCGCGCCGCGCGGAGGACACAAAGCACCGGCTGGTCTCGAGCACGGAGCAGATCGCTCTGGCCGTCGCCATGGCCGTGACCCAGATTCCCGATTTGGGCGACGACGACGATGAGGACCAGGACGCACGCGAGCGAAATAGCAGGTTTTCGAAGGTACTCGGTGGGGTGGGGGGGGCGACAGTTTTTCGCTGCGTTCGCAAGTTTCAATTTCGTTCGTCGACAGAAGAGATGGCATAAACATTGAGTCTCGGAGATCCGCGCGGATTTCAGGATCTGCGCAGAACCCCCTGGCGGCGCCTCTGGCGCCGCCACCAGGGAGCCCCGCCGGCCAGGGACTGGAGACCTGCGCCGATCCAAGAAATCAGCGCGGACCTCCGCAAGCTTATGTTTATATGCCCGCAGAGCGGGAGTCACGACGGGCCCCCAGGGAGAAGTTTGCACGTAGATTTTGAAACCATTGGGTGTTAGGGATGTTGCCTCGACGTAATCCGATAGCCCTTATAACGGCGACGATGGAACACAGTGCCGGGGAACTGCTTTGAACATCACCAGTCGTTCAAAGCAGTGCCCCGGCACTGCTTTGAACGATGCGGAAATGCGATCAGCAGGAGCCTTCGTCTGTTCCTTCTCCTCTTCTCGTCGCTGTATGCTCTTCCTTGTCCTCCCTCCTCTCCCGTTCCCTCTCTAATTAATTACCTCGTTCTCCCAGTCTCACGCGCACTCTTCCTCCCCCCTCTCCTCCTCCTCTTCCTGCTTCTCCTCCTCGTCCTCCTCCTCCTCCGCCTCCTCCCCCTCATTTGTTATATTTCTCCGTCCTTGTCCTCCTGTCCCCGTTCTCCTTCTCCCTCTCCTCCTCCTCCTCCTCCTCGTCGTCGTCGTCCTCCTCCTCTTCCTCCTCCTCCTCCTCCTCCTCCTCCTCCTCTTCCTCCTCCTCCTCCTCCTCCTCCTCCTCCTCCTCCCCTTTTTCCTCCTCCTCCTCCTCCCCCTTTTCCTCTCCCTCCTCCTCCTCCTCCTCCTCCTCCCCCTTCCCCCTCTTCCTCCTCTGCTATCACTCCTCCATAATTCCTGTCCGCTCCTCCCCTTCACTGATCTTCCTCTTCGTCATCATCATCCCTTTCGTCGCACGCCTCTTAATCCTCAATCGGTTCCCAATCTTCTCGACTTTCTTGTCATCCGCGTCCTTGGCTGTTGGAGGGGCCTCAGGAATTCTCAGGGCTCTTGTGTTGCACGCGAAGGCACACCTCCCAGGAACGCATCATCCTCCTCACATTCACCCTCCTCCTCCTCATCCTCCTCCTCCATGCACGTTCGGCTCAAGCCCGCGCCGACGGTAGGTTTCACGGCGGTTGGGCGGGCTCGCGCCCGCCTCCGCGGCCTGCAGTCGGGGCAGAGATGCGTGCAGGGTGGGATGACAAAGCGGAAGAGGAAACACGGGCCGCAGTTGCGGATTCTTCAAAGAGCAGCGGCGGCGGTTGGGGAACAAGTGGGGGTTGGGGCGGCCGCAGTGGCGGATACGGCGGCGGAGGTGACCGCAGTGGCGGCTGGGGCGGCGGAGATTCTCTTGGCGGATGGAGAGGAAAAGCGCAGGATGGCGGCGACGGAAGTGACCGCAGTCGCGGATGGGAGGGCGGCGGATGGGGCGGCAACGGATGCGAGGGTTGGGGAATGGAGGGCGCCCGCTGGTGGGACGACGAGGGTGGCTGGTGGAATGCATGGGAAGGTGGCCGCTCGAGTGCCTCGGCAGGTTCTCCTGCCGCGGAGCCCGCGGCCGCAACAGCGGCGGGCAAAGGAGGCGGTCCCCTGCTTCCCCCAGGGCGCGAAGAACAAGGCGCAGTTGCGCTGTTCAAATTGTGCGCAATGAGCCGCTGCCAATTTTCAAGTTGGAATTCTTCGAGAACTTCAGGGCGAACTGGAACGGCAATTATAAGCAGCACAACGCGGCCTTGAAGTGGTTCCGAGACGAGTACGAAGACCGAGAAAACCCTTTCGGCAGCCGCACGCCCGTCTTCGGAGGTACCGCAGTTGCGGAGGAAATTTCGAAGATCCTTAAGTACCGCGCAAAGGGGAAGGCGCAGGACAACAGGGATTGGGACTGGGACCACACTGTCAAAGTGCCGTGGTCTTGGCTGGAGATGGTCGCGCAGATGGATGGACCTACAATGCTGCGCGTCGTGTGCGGCCCTGACAATGACCGCAGTCGCGGGTTGGTCCGCTGCGAGTGCCGCCCGTGCCCTAGCAGTCTCGACAACATGAGGCACACGAAAGGGGTGGACAGAGGACAGGCGCAAAGAATCCCTCTGCCCCAGTGGGATTTCGTCCTCATCCGCGACGACGGCTCGGGCATTCGCGTCCACCCATCCTGGTCTAGCCCGAAGTTCAACACGTATGAGGTGGAGCCGCACTCGCATCCCGCGCGGGGCCCGAGGGCAGGTCTCGGCAAGAGCGATGGCCACGGAACGTTCACGTTCTGGAAGATGCTGCACGCCCATCCGAATCCTGGGCGGTTCGACGCGAGCAAGGGGGCGCAGCTGCAACCGCGGTGGTCCGCGCAGCCTTGACACCGCAGTTGCGGGATAGCGCAGCCATGGAACCGCAGTTGCGGGGACCGATCGCGTGACGCCGCGCTCGTTTGACTCACTATGCGCGCTTTCGGCCGCAGTTGCGGCGCTGCCTTCTAGCGACTTCATACAGCTTGGCCGCAGTTGCGGCGCTCCCACGACTGACCGCTGTAATTAGGTGCTTCGGGCGCGCAGCACCTCCGTTGAAGCACTCGTGACGTTAAGTAGCGCGGCCGCAGTTGCGGAGACAGGTACTTAAACAGATGGATCCGCAGTTGTTCGTCGTCCTCGTCGCCCCTTCCCCGTCGTCCTCGTCGCAGTCTCCTCCCTCCGCCTTTCCTCCTCGTCGCAGTTCCTTCCGTTGGCCGTAGCCCGCCTCCGTTGGCCGAGTCATTTCCCGTCGTCCTCGTCGCAGTCCCCCCCGAGGGCCGCAGTTGCGGACTTTGTTGAATCCTCCTCCTCCGTTTCTGCCCCGTCATCCTCGTCGCAGTCCCCTTGCTCCTTTCACCCTCGTCTGAGCTCTTCGCGCCATCCTCTTCCGTCGCGTCCTCTCCATCCTCCTCTTCGCCTTCCTCGTCCTCATCCCCGCCGTCTCCCTCGTAGTCCTTCCTCTCCCAAGCCGGCCGCAGTTCCCCCGTCGGACGGGGGCCGCGCGCGGCCACGCCATGGACCCAGGTCGCAAAGCCGAGGTCGACAAGCGGTTCGCCGAGCTGAAGCAGCAACTGCGGGAAAGGTTCGGCCTGCAAGGGGCTTCCGCGGATGCCGCAGTCGCGGAGCCGACGGAGGACCGCAGTTGCGGAAGCCCCGAGCGACCGCCGCGCGAGGCCTCCCCGCAGTCGTCTAGCTCCTCGCGGTCGGCCATCGAATATCGGCCGCCGCCGCCGATTAGCGCTGCGAGTGGGAGCTCTGCTGGTGGGAGGCGCGAAGAGGCGCAGTTGCGCAGGGCGCACTTGACCCCCAAGGCAAAATGGGGGCCTCGGGCGCAGACGCCGACGAAGCAGCAGGACCAACCAGCAGTGACGGGAGCCGCCACCGAGACCGCAGTTGCGGGGTTGGCCGGCGAGCCAGGTGCCGCGCGCGGCTCATCTGGGAGCAGCGCGCCCTCGGCCGTGCTGCTCGCAGCCGAGTCCAAACGAGGCGCCCAACCCGAAGACGAGGCCGCCTCCCAGGAGAAAGCCGCCGAGACAATCGCCTCGGCCGATTCGCGGCCGAGGAAAAGGCCGCCTCCCACGGAAGGCTCGCCGCTGTCAGAACCGCAGTCGTGGGGTCGCGCGGGGCCTCCGTCGGAACCGCAGTTGCGGGAAGATGCGGGAGCACCGCGGAAGAAGCAGCGGACCAGGTCCCCTCCAGGGATAAACTACTTTGGGGAACGCCCCAAGTGGAACGAAGGATTCCTTCGTACAGAAGACGGCAATCGGGTTCCGTCCACCATCGCTTTGGTGTTCATCGTGGTGGTCATCACGAAGGTGGCAACAAAGGAAGATGTCTTCAGGTGCATCTTGCACCAAACTGCGGCGGTCGTCTTCGTCGTATGGGACCCCGAGCTGTTCCGCGCGGGGAACGTCGAAGGCGCTTGCAGCTACGACGTTCCCGTTGGACTCAGGACTGCCGTCGAAGACGCTGTCACTTTGAAAAACAACACCGCGGAGCCTTACTGGACGACGGTTGGCCTGTTCAGAGACACGGGCGCGGTGCTCGTGCGCCCGCACATCATCGCAGAGACCGCAGTTGCGGGTCATGTTGTTGGGGCCACCCACGCCGTCACGATCCTGCGCTTTCGCCTGAAGGGCTCCGACGTGAATCCTGCCGCGGTGATCCGTTTTGCCGTCGTGTCCAGACACGCAGTCACCGAACGTCTCCAACAGAAGATCACGCAATCAGAACAAACAGCGTGGCATCCAAGTTTCTTCAAGGACGCGGTTGCTTCCATCCATAAAAATGATGTGCGGTTCATGTGCGGCCTGTTTGACATCCCGCCTGAGCAGCTCCAAGCATTTGGCCGCAGTTGCGGAGCCAGCTACACCTGCCCGATGGGGGTGGCGCTCAGGGCTGGACCCGCCCTGTTCGGAGGCCTTGTGGAGGGCACACGCGTCATGCATCCGAATTACGTCCTCCCCATTGGCCCGTGCGACGTGCGCATTTCGGACTACAACCTGGATTTTGCAGGGAGGCCGTCGAAGAACGATCCCCAGTGGCTCCCTGATTGGATGCATCGAACAAGCGACTCCATCATCTCTCGGCGCTGGGTCCCAGCGAAGTACCTGCCCAAGTGGGAGGATGACCCTGACCGCAGTAGCGGAGTCAGAAGAAAGCTCGGCTTGGCAGCGCTGCCCCCAATCGGCAAGGTCATTCAGAAGGAGCTCAACGAGAAGACCGTCAGCACGCACTGGTGCGAGGGCATCCACCAAAACGTCGTCTTCGTCGGCCACGGACGCCAGAGTCGGGCGAGCAAGCGGAAGCACGAAGAGGCGCGATCTGCCGCAGTTGCGGACGAGCGGTGAGCGCGGCAAGACCGAGGAGCCGCAGTTGCGGAACAGAACTCGGTACTACTGGGCGCCTGCT